GGGGACCCGGGAGCCGGGCCGGGCGTGGCTCAGTGGCTGAGCGACCTCCTATAGACCAGGAGCTCACTGTTCCATCCCCCTCAGGGTGCATCCCGGGTGTCAGGCATCACTGATGTTTCCATCTCCCTCTCCTTGTCTCTTCCTCTCTCTGAAATCAATAAAAACATATTTAAAAAAAGGGGGGACCTTAGAGACAGGTTCAGAGGATTAGCCCAGGATGAGCTGCTGCTGCCCATTGCTCCCCTGGTTGCAAGTCTCATGGGGTCCCTTGGAGTTTGGAAGATGCACGTCTGTGGGGGAGAAGGAGGGGAAGGGAAAGGCATGGGGCATGCTCCCCAGAGGGAGAGAGTGCCTGAGGCTAGCTCCAATTTACTGCTGTCATAAAGATATGAGAAGTGTGTTTTTCCCTTGGATGGGCACCGATTAGCCAACACAGATGGCCTAGCCGCATAAACCACACCACCCCCTTAACCGCCTACGTAATTTTTTTTGAGCACACCCCGTGTTTAAAAAGCGCCTGGTTCTGAGGACTGGATGGAGCACAGTTCTACACTGAGATCTCTCTCCCTTACTGCAGTAGGCCGAATACAATCTGTCCTGGCTCATCTTGTACATTTCCTGCCACCAAACCTGGATTCAGCCATTTCTCTAAGAAGCCTCTGTTTTTGTTTGTATGTTTTGGTTGTTTTTTTGTTTCTTTTTTGTAGTGAAAGAAGGTAGTTAGAAACCAAAATCTGGGCTAAAAATGCTCATTGTTGCTGGGTTGGCTATTATTTCTAGGTCTTTTCACTGGCCAGAGCTAGGACATAGGTATATATTTATTTTCAATTCCAATTTAGAAAAATTGTCACAAAACTTTATTAGTCTTACAGCGGTATCTCCTTTCACCCACACTAAAAGTCTGTCCTCAGCGACACGTACATAATTACTCTTTTTCTTTATCCCACAGAACACACTCACATGTACACACACACACACACGCACGCACCAGTGTCAGGCTCACAGCACCAACACTACCACCAGCAATGGGACTAGTGACACTGATTTAAGATTCTTTTGTAGTTACTCTTGTATCCTCTCTAGGGACATACAAATTACTGTAGTTTAAGAAGTCAGTCGGAATATTCTTCTCTGTGTGATTATACCATCAATTTGATACATAGTTGGATTCATTTGTTTCCTTTTCTTTTTGAACTTTTAGGGTTTGCTTTTTAAGAGTTAATTTTCTTTGTAATTCTGTAAGATATTTGCATGGTTCCAAAGTCATCTCCATATAACAAGATAACAGAATTCTAGTGTCTGTGCCCTCCCTTCTCCTGTACATGGTCATTTAAAAACATTTATAGTTTGTTTTGACAATTTATTTTCCATTCTAGTTTTCAACGATAAGCAAACATGTATGTATATATTAATAACCCTTCCCTTTTTTAGATAAAAGGGTAGAATGATAGACACACTCCCCCACCTTGCTTTTTAACTCCACAGTATCCTGGAGATCCTTCCATAATACTTAAAAAGAACCGAGGGCTCACAGGCTTCAAAATCCCCAATCTTTGCAGCATATCCCCCTATCTTTTATCATCTAGACTTACTCCCCTGTCCCCCATTCTTCAACAAGGACCTCACACTTTAGAGACCATAAGAGATTTAAGAGTGGCTGAGCCCAGTATTGAGGAAGAGCACAGAGAGGCCCCAAGAAACAGGGCTCACTCTCTCCCCTATTTTCTTTAGCAATTCTGCTCCCCGCCAGACACCCTACATAGCAAAACAAGAGCCCCCAGAAATAAAAAGGGCTTTCTTAGAAAGCCCTTTAGTGACCACCTTTATTACTTGGCCAAGACCCTTGGGAGCAGCCTCATGCCCCCTCCCCCTTCCTACTCCAATATCTCTTCCCATCTTATATACCCCTCTCTCTAAGAGAAATTCTCCTGAATATATGTTTCTCTGCGTAGTTATATCTCTAATGATACTTTAGTGTCCCTTAAAGCTTGGCTAAATAACTGTCTGACTGGCCTGCTCTGACCAGATGAATTGCATTTATTAAAAAACAAGTAGAGTGGTTGTTGTTGGGTAAATGTATTCAGGCTTTTGCAGATTCTGAAAGAGCTCATGGTTCTTCCTCCCTCCCTCTTTCAGGGACACCCGGTCCTGAAATGTGAACAGTGACCCTGTAGCCTGTGTTTTTATTCAGTGGAGAGCGATTAGTTCTTATTTCTTTAAAAACAGAAACAAACAACCCTGCTAGGACCACAGGTTCTGTGGGGAGAGAAACCTGGCCCTGACCTAGATTGCCTCAGTTTCTAGCAGTTTCCCCAAACAGGCAAGTCCCCAGGGTATGGGCTCTCTCTGCAAGGGGCTGTGAGCAGCAGTCCCATTTTAAACCTGGCCCATTTAAGTTCTAATCCCCTTGCCTTTCAGTCATTTTGCTTTCTCCTTTCCCCAGCTGACAGCCTTTGCTGCCGGAGGTATAAAGTGCTGTTGTCTCCCATGGAGCCCACTAATTTCGGTGGAAACCTAGGCCCCGGTGTTGCTTTCCCTTCCCCGGGCAGTGACCGTCTCCGGCCCTGGCTCGCAGCTTGTGTTGTGTGGCCGCTGAGCTGCACCTCTCTGCCCCCCCCCCAGCCCTTCTCTCTGCAGCTCTGAGGCCGGGCAGCTGCCTAATTTCAACCTTGTGTTTGGCCTGTTTGAGGATGAAAGGGCCTGATGTCGCCAGAGTTTATCGGCAACATTCACTCGGCAAGAAAAGTCAGGAGCACTCGGCAAAGCTGCAGAGGGAAGGGCCACCCTCTACCCCAGTGATGGCAGGTGCCCGTGTCCTCTGTAGCCTCTGAGCCACCACCTGGGAATTTTCCGGTCTATTTTCACTGCTTAGCAGGAGAAGTGGCCGAGAGGCGCTAAGTCAGCTGAGGAGCAGGGAGAGAGAGGTTTGCAATCGAAAAGGAATGTCAAGACTGGTTACAGAACTTGTAGGTCCCAGTGTAAAATAAAAAGGCAGAGCTCCTTGTTCCACAAGCAGAGAAAAAAAAAAAGTATACCTTTCAAGCTATTAAACTATAAAGCTTTATCCTGTCTTCCATGGTTTTTCTCTCTACTTGTCATGGTAATTTTGCTATTTAATCTCGCACTCCCTCGGGCACAGGGACACTCAAGGGGCAAGTGTAACCCTTATAGGCACCTGGGGGTCCTGCCCCACCATTTGGGGCACTGCACGGTCCATCAGCTTCTGGGTTACCCATCGCACCAGCCCCTGGACTGATATCCCACGTCCTGGCCAAGGGAGGGGAAGCAGTCAGGCATCTTCCTTTCTACAGACTGGCTGCTCCAACCCATGGAGGGCAGAAGACCCCCAAGAGCACTGAACCTCAGGGCTACTCTGTAGGGAGCCGGACCACGGGTGGGCAAGAGGCTCGTGGAAATTCTGTGACAGCAGATTGTCCTGCAGATGCTGAAGTATCGGCATCTTGTGTCTAGTGGTTCACCTGACGCGTGTTTGGCATCACGATGTTGCAGGGAGTCTTGGAGGGGTGGCTGCCTTAGACTTGGCGGCTTTAAGGCCCAGGCTGCCCTAAGGGGGCTCCCCCTCAGCTCAGCTGGATGCGAGCGGCGCAGATCAGCAGCCCCAGGCAAAGCAGAGAGGGCGGGCTGTATGTCACGGGCACCTGCTGTCAGCTGGGCACTGACTGACCGTGGAGGAGAAGCATCCCGGGGTGAAACGTCAGGCAGCAGGGGCACATGGGAAGCCCGAGTGTGTCTGCTCAGCATCACCCAACCACACACAGACGACGGCTGGCTGGTGACCTCGCCCTGGGGGCTGCGTGACGGGCCCCAGGGAGCTAGGGTCTGAGCTGGCGGTTCCTGGCTGGGTGAGAGGCTGACTTAGCTCCGAGGGATCCCAAGGCCAGGATGGGGTGGGGCCGGGGGAGGAGAGAGGGCAGCCACCCACAAAGAGACAGATGAGATGTGAGATGCTGGCTGCAGTCCCGGTGTGAGCAGCACAGGCTGTAGGCCAGACATGACAAATGAGCTGAGAGCTGCAGAAATCACCCCGGAGAGCAGGTCCTGACTAAGCAGGGGAGAGAGATGAAGCCTCTGAGTCCTGCCCTGTCCATTAGATAGCCACCAGCCCCACGTGGCTACTTAAAGTGACCAAAAAAAAATTAAATTCCCCAGTCACATTAGCCACATTTCGAGCGCTCAGTAGCCACATGGGGCTGGTGGCTACCAGGATGGACAGTGTGGATACAGGACATCTCCATCACTGCAGAAAGATCTATTTGAAGATAAATCATCTCATTACAACTTTATATTAGTTACATGTTGAAATCACATTTAAAATATAATGTTAAATATATTTTAACACAATTAACTTCACCTGTTTTGTTTTGTTTTTTACTGTGCGTAATAGAAACTTATAAATTACCTATGTAGCTCCTATTTCTACTGGACAGTGTGATTACACATGGGTATAGGAACACACCTTCACTCATTCATTGTTTTAATGCTCCCTCCACTTGATGTTGTTCCACTTGATGATGGCTGTGAAAATCCTCTTAACACAAAGGTTACAGGGGCACCCCGAGGTAATGGGACAAATGCAAACTTTGGAGCCAGAAAAAATCAGGTTCAAATCTCAGTTCCAGCCCCCTACTCGCTGCATGATCGTGGCCAAATAATTCCCTTTGTGCCTGTTTTCTCATCTGAACAATGCGATCAGTGAATCAGCCGCTGTGCAGCACTGCTGTGAACCTTAGAAATGGCAGTGCTTGGAGGGGACCCTCGTGGGCCCGGCCCCTAGTATGCTTCTGTTGATGGTAGTCGTTATCGCTGTTATTACTGTCATTAGTATTTTAAGTATGAAAGTAGAAGGGGTTATGGTCAGTTTCTCTGGCCTCAGACCACTCACTCCTCTGCCCCGACCTCCCAGAGATGGTGCAGCAGGCAGCCGTTAGCATCGCCTCCCGACCCTTCGCAAAGCCCTTGGGCACAGCCCGGGCACTCACCTGCTGGCAGCTGCTGGTCCAGGCGGCCCTGAGGGTGCCCCAGCTCTCTGAGCGCCCAGCCTTGCTCTCCAGGTGCATTCGCAGTTGTGCCTCCAGATCCTGGCAGACTTGCTCCAGGGCATGCACCTTGGCCATGTATTCCACCAGGCAGGCCCCCAGGTCTTCAACGGCATCAAGGTCCTGCTCCAGGCCCGGAGCAGGTGCTGTGGCCAGGCCTGAGCTCCATAGGCTCTGCAGAAAGACACTGCTGATGCCCAAGGCTCGGCGGCTCACGCGGGCACCCAGGCCTCCTGTGTACCCACTGGGGGTCATCCCTACATAGACCCTGGGAGCTTGGATGAGGCCACCAGTGGCACTGGTCCTGGAGGCTGGGGGGCTATCCAGGGAGGGCGATGACTGCGTTCCCCTGAGGGATGCCCTGTGCCTCTGGAGGGGACTGCTGGCGCCTGTGGGCACATCCACCACCACCCGCCTTGAGCTCATCACCCCTGCTGCCTGCACTGTGCCTAGTGGGTTTGCAGAGTCCAGCAGCTTTTGCTTTCCAGCCCCGGTGTCCCTATGGCCCTGTCACGAGCCTCTCTGGAAGCTCCCCTGTCCCCAGGGCTGCTTTGTCTGCTGTTTTCCATGAATTTCCATCATTCGCTGAGCTGAAAGAGAATTGGCCCCGTCCAGGGCCGCGTGCAGAGAGGCTCTCGCACATTCTCTGCAGGGTCATGCGCCCGACCTCCCAGGTTTTTCTGCTGCTGTTGGTGGAGGCTGGAACCCTGCAGGCTGTGGAGGTGGCTCACCTGGGTTTGTATATTTCACTACCTAAGAGAGGGCAAGGCAGGCATCAAGCAGCCCCTTTCACAGATGAGTAAACTGAGGCTCAGGTCACAAGTGGAGTGAGTGGCTGAGCCAGGACTCAGGTGTTCCCAGGGCAGAACACCTTACGTGTGCTGTGTGTGTGACTGTGTGAATGTGTCGTGTTCGGACAGGTAACAGAGGATTGAAACATGTGAAGCAGCCATGGTGGGAGGCAGCCCCAGGGTCTGAAGAAAAACAAACCAAGCCCGTTGCTTCCTTTACCCTCCCTCAGTCCGGGCAGCAGCTTCAGGTCCCTCCCAAGCATCTTTTTTCCTGAGAAAACTGCCATTCATCAGCTGTGTGGCTTTGGCCACATGACTTCACCTCTCCGTGCCTTACTTTCCATGCACTGCCCCAGGCTCTAACTTTCTAATGCATTCGACAAGGGGCCCTGGGCAAATTCAGGCCCTCACATGCTGGGCACCTATTACTCTCTAGCTGTTCCCTATACATCTGCTTTCCCATCTGCCCCAAATTAGTAAAACAGAGAGAGAGGGCCCCCTGTCCAGAAAGCGGCAGAGCTGCGATGGGAAGGCCTCTTCTGACTCCGAACCCAGTGACCTATCTAGGCCCCCTCTGCCTCCCACCACGGAGAGCAGGGTATCTACCCAAGGTCACCTAGGAGGAGTCAAAGACCCTGGTTGCCTACTGGAATATTCTACGTGCTCTTCCTGGCCGATTAGGACCCACCACTCTTTTCTTTTCTTCTAAGTTGACCTTTTGAGATGACACGGAAGGTACTTTATAAGTGTCACTGTTGGTCATATGATTAACAGATTAAAAAGCCAACTTGATCCAGGATAGGCTGGTGGTACCCCTCGTTCCTTAGACATGGTATCCCTGCTGCGAACGCCACCTCGTGCACCCGGGAGGGCCCCGGTGCCCGTGAGACTGCGTTATGACAACGTCCGAACCCAGGCGATGCTGACCGGGCCGCGGAGGAGCTGCATTCCTGCGAATTCCAGGATGTATCGTTCAAGGCTGAATGAAGGGTTCTAGCCACCGACTGAGTTCTTGGCAGAGGTTGCCTAGGCACCATTACCCTCTATATCTGTACCATATAAATGGTAACACGCACGGCCAGGTTAACTCCAGCTTTCTTGGACCCTGAGATATTTAAGATGAAGCCCGAGTCCTGGGGAGGGGCAGGCGGAGGAGGGGATGTACCCTCAGTGACACCAGTGTCTCCAAAGACCTGAGAGGGATGATTCTCTCTTGAAGAAATCACAACATGTTGTAAAGGCTTTGTCTTATCAAATAATAAATTGCTAAGCCTATTAGCTCGCCATTCTCATAAAACCCAATTTACAGTTAAAGTAGATTAAAGATACAGATGGATGTTAGGTGGTACTGGTAACAAAGGAAGGCTTAAAAGTTATTTTAAAATGAAAAGAATGCAAAATGTATCAGCAACGTAATCCTCTGGCTAATAAAATAAGTTTATTTATATATACATGGTAGCTGAATTCTGTTGATACAGAAAAATAAGTCATACATTCACATATGTATATATAACATATGCACCTTTGATTACATATATTATATATAAATTTTACTTTACAAACAGATTTCTGTCTATATATATACACACACACATTGATAGATTAATGTAACAGCTAACAGAAATATCATAAAGATAAAATGCCAGACAGCAGCTCACTAGAGAATGAATCTCAGAGCAACATTTAACCTGCTTCTTTGTGGGTTGAAGTCTTTAAAGAGAGACAACCACCAAACTCATGTTAAGTACGTTCGTACAACATTGAGAACACACATTTTTGAAGGCCATCTTTTTTTGAAAGGAAAACGTAGGAAGAAAGAAAAAAGTCATGATAAAAAGACCACAGCAACAACACAAACATATGGATCAACATTCAAGTTCAATTCCCAATCTGACTATAAGAACATCTATATTCAAAATATATACTATCAAACTATTTTTCTTTTAGAGAAAGGAAGTGTCGGAGCAGTTGTCTTCTGTCCCAGCCACTATCTATAGGGGAGAAATGGAGAAGCAGCCGTCTCCGCAAGCTCCTCGTGCCTCTGAGGGTCTGACGCCTGTCAACCGAGCTGGACGCAGCGTGGGTGGGGGAGGCCGCCCACCGATGGCGGGAGCAGTGCAGGGGGACACGAAAGGAGAGCCAGGTGGCAGGTCCATGTGCTGATCCCCAAGCAGCTCTACAATGGAGGGGGGTGGCGTGGGATGAGTCTTCTCCCAAGCGATTGTGTTGGCCACCTCGTTTCTGTAAGATTGCAGGATAATTTAGAAAGTTACAGGTCCACATGTCAAGGCTTCTTCATAGACATGCTCCTCAGGGGTACGATCCGATGGCCTTTTGGGAAAGCGAAGCTGAACCCCCATGAATGTGCGGTCCTTGAAGGGCCAGTGTTGTCCAGCCCGGGCAGATCCGCATCGACGCCCTCTCTGGAGAAAGGCACAGTATGACTGCAGATGTGGGTGCTGCAGGGGACGCAGGCATGTGTCGGGGGAGCCTTTGTTTGCCAGGGAAAGGTGGTCCTGTGATTAGCACAGCAGAAGGTCCCTGCTGAGTGATGTTAGGGGGACGTGGCCTTAGGCTGCTGATGAACTTCATGGATTATCTGACGGGCTGCTGCTCCTGCCCGGCTGCTCCGATGGAGTTATGCCCGACAGTCAGTGTGCCCGTGTGAGGCTCCGGGGCACTCCTCTCCTCCGCACAGGAGGGGGAGGCAGCGGTCACATGGTATCAAGAGGAACCTGAGCTTTAGAAATCACTCAAGGGCCATGCACGTGACATTCCCTCACCTGCCTGGGGCTGCTGGGAACCCCACGTGCTCGAGGACAGTTAGTAAGAGAGGCAATCAATGCAACTGCTTTGCTTAGAAATACCTTTATTTTATAAAGCCACGGGTCGTTCTGTAAAGGTTTTTTAACCACACTTATAAAAAAGATGTTGACAATTCTCAGGAAAAAAAGCTGAAAATGTTTCTCATGAAGTCAGGGTTACACAAAGATTATATTTATAATATATATTTGTATATTTATAATTTAGAGACAAAAGGTAGGGAATGGCAAAGCGAGGGCGGCTGCGGTTACATCTCCGATACCTGATCGTTTCCCACAAACAGTGTTTCTTGGCAGAAGGGGTTCACAAGGACCATCCCAGTGTCTCTGTAGTCGCCATTGGCTGGGGAGCGGGGCTCTGAGAGCTGGTCCTGGGGAGACAGAGGGAGGAGGCGGTGTGAGTGGGAGGACGCACGAGGTGGCCCTTAAAGAGCGCGACCCACAGGGACAACTACTTGCACGTGGGGGTGCTTGGTAAACATTTTTCGTTCTCACTGCCAGAGCCGAGCTGCAGAGCCCTCTCTGCTCTTTCACACTTTTACAGCCGCTTCTAGAAAAGCTCTCCTGCTTCCTGAATCAGCCCGTCAGGTTTCCAGAGATGTGCCGCTCTCCTTGCCAAAGCCCAAGGGCGCGCTCTGCCCGACGCCCACGCGGCTCACTGCCTCAGCAGGCACCCGGCGCACTCGGCCGCCTCTTCTCCCGCCTCACAGGCCTCTGGGGGCCTGCTGCCTTCCCTCCCCGACGCACCGCACACTAGCCCGCGTGCCAGAGCCTCTAGGGGCTAATTCTTCCCCTCCCGAGTCCTCCCAAAGCCTGGCCGGAATCTTTGCCCCATTTCTTGTAGCACTAGAAGAGCAGAGGTGAACGGATCTGAATCTGTGTGATAGCACAGTAGGTGGTGCGCAGGGGCTTGATGTGACCACATTTATGTGTATAAAAGTCACCCCAGCAACTGCAGGGGAAGAGGGCAGTGCATCCCCAGAACCACTCTCTCAGGGCCCACCGCCTTCACTCTGACGGCTGCCACCCTCCTGGGCCATCTCTATGGCATCCGAGTTTATCTACTTTCCATTTGTCCATCCATTAAACCGCCCTTCCTACCCTTCCTGTCCATTCACTGACCACAAATAGAGGGCCTTCACCAGCCATTAGCGTAACAGTCCTAAAACCAGGTCACACAAAACTCAGAACTTCCAAGGACCCTCTGCTGCCCAAGACTAAAGTCCATTCAGCCCCATTCAAGGCAGGGCCTCACCCACCTACCATTCCTGCTGCACCCTGGCCTCCACCCACCGTCCCTGTGAGAGAGGAAGGAGCACAGACTGTAAAGTCAGAGGCCTGGGTCCAAGCCCAGCTCTCTCACCAGCCAGGTCAGTTTGGGGCAAATGCTTCCTTCA